AAAAGTAAAAATAATAATAAGAGTTGGAAATCTCCAGATCATGGTCCATTCTTTGGATAGCAAAAAAATGAAGATCAGCCTAGTGGTGTGGACCTCAGCTCATGCACATCCTCCAGACAGGGAACCAGGTATTAACTATAAATCTGCCCTGTAGACTGCTGTGTATCCCCAGACAGGAAAGTATACATCTGCCAACACGTACATTTCATCCAGCTATATCACCCCAGGGAAACTGCTGATGTGTCTGATAATGGAGGCTCCATTTCTTAAATATATCACCGATCAAATGGACTGCTGAATTATATATTCTAATCGGTCTTATGTATGAAAGTGGGATGGGCCCCATTAATTCTTCACCAAAAAATATACATACATTGTGCATTCTATCAGCAGGAACCAAGCTTCCTTCATTTGTGGGAAAGAAATAAAAGGAGGCTGGAATGAGCAGGAAGTTACTGTATGTTTTGATGATGGGAGTAAGGACAAGCTTACAAGGGGACACCAGAAAAGATAATGAGGATACAATTTGAGAAATCAGTGTAATATATATATATATATATATATATATATATACTGCTCAAAAAAATCAAAGGGACACTTTGAAAACACATCAGGCCTCAATGGGGAAAAATACCATGCGGGATATCTATACTGATATGGACTGGGTAATGTGTTAGGAATGTAAGGATGCCCCATGGTTTGATGGAAATGAAAATTATCAACCTACAGAGGACTGAATTCAAAGACACCCTGAAAAATCAAAGTGAAAAAATTATGCAGCAGGCTAGTCCATTTTGCTGATACTCAGTAGTTTGTATGCCCCCCCCCCCCCTCCCGTACTTGTATTCATGCCTGACAACATCGGGTCATGCTCCTAATGAGACGACGGATGGTATCCTGGGGTATTTCCTCCCAGATCATCTCTAAGCTCCTGGACAGTCTGAGGTGCAACCTGGTAGCGTCAAATGGACCGAAACATGATATCCCAGAGGTGTTCTGTTAGATTTAGGTAAGGCGTGTGGGGGGGGGCTATTTAATGGTATCAATTCCTTCATCCTCCAGGAACTGCCTGCATACTCTCACTACACGAGGCTGGGCATTGTCCAAATCAAAGTGAAAAAATGATGCAGCAGGCTAGTCCATTTTTCTGAAATTTCATTGCAGCAACTCAAAATGGTACTCAGTAGTTTGTATGGACCCCACGTGCTTGTATGCATGCCTGACAACATCAGGGCACGCTCCTAATGAGACGATATATATATATATATATATATATATATATATATACTGTATATATATACACACTCACTGACCACTTTATTAGGTTCACCTTGCTAGTGTCAAAAAAAATATCCCCTGCACCATTACACCACCACCATCAGCCTGAACGATTGATATAAGGCAGGATGGCTCCATGCATTCATGTTGTTTATGCCAAATTCTGACCCTACCATCTGAATGTCGCAGCAACCAGTCTGCCCATTCTCCTCTGACCTCTGACATCAGCAAGGCATTTTTCGTCCACACACCTGCCACTCACTGGATATTTTCCCTTTCTCAGGCCATTCTCTGTAAACTCTAGAGATAGCTATGTGTGAAAATCCCAGTAGATCAGCAGTTTTTGAAATACTCAGACCAGCCCATCTGGCACCAACAATTATGCCACGTTCAATTTAACTTAAATCCCCTTTCTTCCCTATTCTGATGCTTGGTTTGAATTTCAGCAAGTTGTGTTCATCACATCTACATGCCTAAATGCATTGAGTTGCTGCCATGTGATTGGCTGATTGGAAATTTGTGTTACCAAGCAATTGAACAGGTGTATCTAATAAAGTATACGCACACACACACACACACAGTTAGGTTCATATACGTTTGGACATAGGCACAATTTTTGTTTTTTTTTTTCCAGGTATTTACAAAAACATATTCAAGCTATAGTTATATGGGCTAAAAGTTCACACTCTCAGGTTTAATTTGAGGGTATGTACATCCAAATTGGAGGAAGGGTTTAGGAATTACAGCTCTTAAGATTAGCCATCCCCCCTTTTTAAAGGGACCAAAAGTAATTGGACAGTTGAATCAAAAGCTGTTTCATGGCCAGGTGTGGGCTACGCCTTCATTATTTCTTCATCAATTAAGCAGGTAAATGTCTGCAGTTGATTCTAAGTGTGGTATTTGCATTTGGAATCTATTGCTGTGAACCTACATCATGCGTTCAATGGAACTGTCCATGCAAGTGAAACAGGCCATTATAGGCTTCAAAAACAAATCCGTCCGAGAGATAGCAGCAACATTAGGAGTGGCCAAATCAACAGTTTGGTACATTCTGAGGAAAGAAGAACGCACTGGTGAGCTCAGCAACATAAAAAGGCATGGACGTCCATGGAAGACAACAGTGGTGGATGATTGCAGGAACCTCTCTATGGTGAAGGAAAACCAATTCACAACACCCAGACAAGTGAAGGACACTCTTCAGGAGGTGGGCGTATCATTGTCAAAGTCTACAATAAAGAGAGACTTCACAAGAGCAAATACAGAGGGTTCACCACAAAGTTCAAACTATTCATAAGCCTGAAGAATAGAAAAGCCAGATTAGACTTTGCCAAAAAACATCTAAAAAAGACAGATCAGTTCTGGAAAAGCATTCTTTGGATGCATAAAACTAAAACTAATCTGTACCAGATTGATGGGAACAAAAACGCGTGGAGAAGGCTTAGAACAGCTAATGATCCAAAGCACACAATGTCATCTGTAAAACATGGTGGAGGCAGTGTGATGGCATGGACATGCATGGCTTCCAGTGGCACTGGGTCATTGGTGTTTATTGATGATGTGACAGAAGACAGAAGCAGCCGGATGAATTCTGCAGTGTCTAGAGATATACTGTCAGCTCAGATTCAGCCAAATGCTGCAAAGTTGATTGGACAATGCTTCACAGTACAGATGGACAATGATCCAAAACACACCGCAAAAGCAACCCAGGAGCTTTTGAAGGAAAAGAAGTGGAATATTCTGCAATGGCCAAGTCAATCACTTGATCTCAACCCCATTGAGCATGCATTTCATTTGCTGAAGGCAAAACTAAAGGAAGAAAGGCCCACAAACAAAGAACAACTGAAGACAGCTGCAGTTAGAGCCTGGAAAAGCATCAGAAAGGAGGAAACCCAGTCTTTGGTAATGTCCATGGGTTCCAGACTTCAGGCAGTCATTGCCCATAAAGGATTCTCAACAAAATATTAAAAATCAACATTTTATTTATGATTGTATTCAATTGTCCAATTACTTTTGGTCCCTTGAAAAAGGGGGGATGGCTATTCTTAAGAGCTGTAATTCCTAAACCCTTCCTCCAATTTGGATTTACATACCCTCAAGTTAAACCTGAGAATGTGCACTTTCAGCCCATATCCATTATATAACTGTAGCTTGAATATGTTTTGGTAAATACCTGAAGAAAAAAACAATTGTGCTTGCGTATATATATGGACCTAACTATATACTGTATATAGTAGTGGTGCCTACTACAGTAATTTCTCAGCTTCCAAAGGTATCACCTGGGTATGGTATATACATAGTATATACACAGCTACACTATATTGCTAAAAGTATTGGGATGCCTGCCTTTAAACCCACATGAACTTTAATGCAGCTATAACAGCTTCAACTCTTCTGGGAAGGCTGTCCACAAGGTTTAGGAGTGTGTCTATGGCAGCAATGGGCAAACTACGGCCGTATACGGCCCGGCGGACCTTTTAATCCGGCCCGCGGAGCGTGATACTGTCAGGATGGCTGTCAGGATGTGTGTAGACGGGGCAGCGTGACGAACTTGAGGGGAGCTAGGCTCCTCTCACAGTCCGCCCTGAAGACCGATGTAGCATGAAAATCTGTCTCCTATGAGGATCTGTCCCCCTCAACGTATCTGCGCATGTGCAGGAGATCGCCGATCGGCTGCTAATGCCTGAAACTGGCACATGCGCAGATACGTCGAGGGGGACAGATCCTCATAGGAGACAGATTTTCATGCTACACCGGAACGGCGCGAGAACATGGCGAGAGGAAGGCGCGGAGCAAAGGTAAGTGAATTGACACAGGGGGGACTTGGGGACTTAATATGGGGGATGAATTAATATGGGGAATTAATTACTATAGGGGGGATGAATTACTATATGGGGGATGAATTACTATGGGGGATGAATTACTATATGGGGGATGAATTACTATGGGGAATGAATTACTATAGGGGGGATGAATTACTATAGGGGGGGATGAATTACTATATGGGGGATGAATTACTAAGGGGGATGAATTACTATATGGGGGATGAATTACTATATGGGGGATGAATTACTATGGGGGATGAATTACTATGGGGGATGAATTACTATATGGGGGATGAATTACTATGGGGGATGAATTACTATGGGGGATTAATTACTATATGGGGGATGAATTACTATATGGGGGATGAATTACTATATGGGGGATGAATTACTATGGGGGATGAATTACTATATGGGGGATGAATTACTATGGGGGATGAATTACTATATGGGGGCTGAATTACTATATGGGGATGAATTACTATGGGGGATGAATTACTATATGGGGGATTAATTACTATGGGGGAATATTACTATACTTACTATGGATGACACATACACATCATTCATCTACTCTTGGTCCGGCCCCCGGGTCCAATATATGAACCCATTGCGGCCCTCAAGTCAAAAAGTTTGCCCACCCCTGGTCTATTCTTCAAGAAGCACATTTGTGAGGTCACGCACTGATGTCAGACAAGAAGGCCTGGCTTGTAGTCTCCGTTCTAATTCATCCCAAACGTGTTCTATTAGGTTGAGGTCAGGACTCCGTGCAGGCCAGTCAAGCTCATTCACCCCAAACTCGCTCATCCATGTCTTTATGGACCTTGCTTTGTGCACTGGTGCACAGTCATGTTGGAATAGGAAGGAGCCATCCCCAAACTGTTCCCACAAAGTTGGGAGCATGAAATTGTCCAAAATGTCTTGGTATGCTGACCCCTTAAGAGTTCCCTTTACTGGAACTAAGGGGTCAAGCCGAACCCCTGAAAACCAACTCCACATCATAATCCCTCCTAAACCAAACTTTCCACTGGGCACAGTGCAGTCAGGCAAGTACTGCTCTCCTGGCAACCGCCAAACCCAGACACATCCATCGGATTGCCAGACAGAGAAGCATGCTTTGTCACTCCAGAGAACACATCTCCACTGTTCTAGAGTCCAGTGGCGGCGTGTTTTACACCACTGCATCTGATGCTTTGCATTACATTTGGTGATGTAAGGCTTTGATGCAGCTGCTTGGCCATGGAAACCCATTCCATGAAGCTCTCTACACTGTTGTTGTGCTAATTTGAAGGCCACATGAAGTTTGGAGATCTTTAGCTATAGACTCTGCAGACAGTTGACTTCTGCTCACTGTGTGCTTCAGCATGTGCTGACCCCACTCTGTCATATTAGGTGGCCTACCACTTCTTGGCTGAGTTTCTGTAGTTCCCAGTTGCTTCCACTTTGTTATAATAGCGCTAACAGTTGACCGTGGAATATTTAATACCAAGGAAATTTCACGGATGGACTTATTGCACAGGTGGCAACCTATTATATTACCACGCTTGGATTTTCTGAGCTTCTGAGAATGACCCATTCTTTCACCAATGTTTGTAGAAGCAGTCTGCATTCCTAGGTGCTTGATTTTATATACCTGTGGCCATGGAGGTGATTGGAACACCTGAATCTAATGATTTGGAGAGGTGTCCCAATACTTTTGGCAATATAGTGTATATTGGTCCTGCTAGACCAGCAATGGGCAAACTATGGCCCGCAGGCCGTATACGGCCCGGTGGACCTTTTAATCCGGCCCGTGGAGCGTGATACTGTCAGGATGGCTGTCAGGATGTGTGTAGGCGGGGCAGCGTGACGAACGTGAGGGGAGCTAGGCTCCTCTCACAGTCCGCCCTGAAGACCGGAACGGCGCGGGAACACGGCGAGAGGAACGCGCGGAGCAAAGGTAAGTGAATTAATTACTATGGGGGATGAATTACTATATGGGGGATTAATTACTATGGGGGATGAATTACTATGGGGGATGAATTACTATATGGGGGATGAATTACTATATGGGGGATTAATTACTATGGGGGATTAATTACTATGGGGGATGAATTACTATATGGGGGATGAATTACTATGGGGGATGAATTACTATGGGGGATGAATTACTATATGGGGGATTAATTACTATGGGGGATGAATTACTATGGGGGATGAATTACTGTGGGGGATGAATTACTATATGGGGGAAGAATTACTATGGGGGATGAATTACTATGGGGGATGAATTACTATATGGGGGATTAATTACTATGCTTACTGTGGGGGAATATTACTATACTTACTATGCATGACACATACACATCATTCATCTACTCTTGGTCTGGCCCCCGGGTCCAGTATATGAACCCATTGCGGCCCTAAAGTCAAAAAGTTTGCCCACCCCTGTGCTAGACCAATGTAACTATGTATAAAATATCCATACCTGGAATTCCTCTTTAAAGTAGAACTATAGGCAAAACTTTTTTTTCATTTTGAACAGAACAAAGGAGGGTTATAACCCCTGTCAGATTTTTATTTGCAATCTGTGCCTGTGTCTTATTGCAGGGATTTCTCTTCTCTTCCTATCCCTAAACCTAACAGAAAGTGAGAGGAAATACCTGCAAATTAAGGTAATTCCTTGGGGATCCCCAGGTCACCAGAACTAGTGTCCCCATTGGAAGATTCCCCTGCTATCACTTTTCTGAGGACAACCCAAAATGTGGGATTTTCTTTTACTTTCAATTTCAATGTAAATGGCAAACAGGACAATAGACAGGGTGAATTTCCTTATTAGGAGCACAGACAGCAACAGAAAATGATAAGCATTCTAATCCCTCTCCACTCTATCCAAATCTAAAAATCGTTTTTCCTTTCATTATACTTTAAGGGTTCTATTCATAATAAAATTTTCTGTGCAAATGCCTCAGCATTCTACCAGCTGTCACAAATAATACCCATAATGTGTCTTAATATGTGTATTTCCAATAATCGTTAGCTCCAACTAGTGGTCATAATGCAGTTTTTTCCTGAAATCAGGAAAATACTGCATTATGGCTATTAGATGGCGCTGAAAATCACAGGAAATGCACATATTAGATAAATTACAGGGATTATTTGAGACAGCTCTGTGAATGCTAAGGCATACCCCCAGCAAATATTTAATATAAATACACCCCATAGTAACTGCTTGTTGGTCCGATGCCAGTAGTAGCAATAATTCTCAACTAATGAAGACTGTAAGTAATGATAAAGTTATAGTTACTAAACTCTGCTCAAGGAAACATTGCCTAATGCAAGATTGTAAGCTCGAAAGAGTAGGGCCCTCTAACCCCTTGTGTACTGTTTGATGTTACTGTTCTGTTTCATGTATTGTCCCCCCCTATTGTACAGCGCTGAGCAAACCCTTTGGCGCTAATATGATAAATAAATAAATAATAAATAAGTAGCAACAGCAAATAGTCAAATACTTCAACTGATCTAAATTGCCTAAAACAAAAAAAAAATCACCTTTGAAAGAGTTAATTTTTTTTAAGCTGAAGAAAATCTTAAAATGAAAATGCCGTGTAAAAGAGTAGAAAAGCAGCCCACTGGGGACAGTTAATATAATTTGTGGCATCAGAGATTGCATGCATCGACATGGCAACAGAGTATACACAGAAGTTTGAGGTGGTAACTTCATAATGCAGCACGTCCCCACAGAGCGATGCCTTTTCACCCAGAAGGAATATGCGCCTTATTTATAGAGTACATTTATTTCTCCTAGACCAAACAGCAAAGGAAACAACGCAAAGTCACGTGCCTCCATCTGTCAACATGAGTACAAGCTAACATGTTTTCTGATGAAAAGAAAAGCAACAACAGCAGCTACGTATGTAAAAGACGTATGGATCTTCAGAATAACCGCAGGGTCATGGAGAATTGGGGCAAGAGAGTTTTTGTTTTGAAAGTTCTAAACTAATCAAAATCTTTTCTATAGTATCTAATGTCCATAAACAAGCTATAAACCATTCCTTGTTAACAATCTGGTTTCTGTTTCTGAATTTCATTGTGTAGCTCTCACCCCCGGGGTGTGGGAGCACTGAGAATATGCCCAGGTCTTCCTTGCTAGTACAGAGACTACTGAAACAGACACAGTTCCATGCACACCAACAATACAGGCTCAGTCTAAGGCAGGGTTTCTCAACTGGGTTGTGTAGAAATCCTAGGGTTCCACAAGAGGTCCCCATCAGTTCTGCTGATCTACACCTGTCAGTTGCAGGCAGCTGACATGTACATCTGTCAGTCATAGGCAGCTGACAGGTAGATCACATCCCCATTGCAGACACATGCAGAGCTAGGCAGGGAAGTGGCTGTGATAGAGTTGGCTATGACATGCTGTTACTCGCCGGTCTCTCCTCCCCTCCTGTATATCCCAGGTACTTGCATTTGACATCACCTGGGATGGACAGGAGACAAATAGGGGCTGGCAGGGAACAGCACACCAGAGGAGAGCAATCAAAGCTCCTTCCCTGACATGCTCTGCATTTGAAAGAAACCTCTGCTACTGTAATGTGGCCTGCTGTGTGCCCCATGTACTGTGCCATGATTTATGCCCTGCTGTGTGCTCCATGTACTGTTCCCTGATGTGGGTCCCATTTAATGTGCCCCACAATATGTCCTGTTCCCCTGTAATGTGCTCTGCCCCCATGTAATGTGTCCTGCTCCCATATAATGTGCCCTGCTGTGTGCTCCATGTACTGTGCCATGATGTTTGCCCTGCTGTGTGCTCCATGTACTGTGCCATGATGTTTGCCCTGCTGTGTGCTCCATGTACTGTGCCATGATGTATGCCCTGCTGTGTGCTCCATGTACTGTGCCCTGATGTGTGTCCCATTTAAAGTGCCCTGTTCCCCTGTAATGTGCCCTGCCCCAATTAATGTGTCCTGCTCCCACGTAATGTGCCGTGCTGTGTGTATTGTAATGAGCCTGCTCCCATGTAATGTGCCTTGCTGTGCTCCCTATAATGTGCCCTGTTCCCATATAATGTGCCCTACTCTCATGTAATGTGTCTTGCTCTCATGTAATGTGCCCTGCTCCCACATCATGTGCCCTGCTCCCACTACCATGTAAAATGCCCTACTGTGTGGCCTATAATCTGCCCTGTTTCCAAGTATTGTGCTCTGCTCCCACGTTATGTGCTCTGCTATATATATATAAGACAGTTGCTCCAGCGCTTAGTAAATGAGGGGAAACTCTGCTGTCTTCCATCATCTAATCATGTGTAAGCAAAAATGTTATTTTCCTTGCATATGATTGAGTATTCAGGAGCTGACTGCCACCCAGCTTCCATATGACGCCTAAATGAAGAAACAACTTGTCCATGTCTTTTAGCCTTGTGCCCCCATCCATGTTGTTTGATGATTTTTTTTAAGTTTTTAAAAAGTTCTCAAGGACTTTGCTGAACCAAAACAATGGCCCATGGATGTCTCCATTTTAGTCTGCTGGACCTTATCTGAAGTCCCTACTGCTGCACTTCAAATACAAACCAAAACCACCGCTCCCAGTGAGGTCTGGTAACCCCATAAATGGGTTGGAGAGTGCAGGCACTCATGCAAAGACCTGACATGCAAGACGCCATTACCCAGAAATCCCTTCTTCTCTTTCAGAGTTTTAACTACATACTGCAAAGTAGTTCTCCGCTGCAGACTGTTAAGAAAAATGTAACAGACATCATCTAATCAATGATCGTCTAGCACTGAATGCTGGGAAAGCTATAATGGCAATACTTGGAAGAACGCTAATAAACCTCACGCGATAAATATATGAATTGGTTAGTGACATTTTCTCTCTAAAATCAAAGCAGCAGACAATCCATATAATAAGTGTCTAACATCTGTTGTGACTGCACTGTAAACTATCCCTGTTAATCATCATGTGATCTCTGCTGCACTGCAGTTTATAGAAGTCAAGCCATATCCAGTCAATACATGGTTTCCATACATCAGCAAACCCTCCGACAGGTCTATTGATTTTACACTTACACAGCAATGTAAACTAGTAATGGAGTCTTATTTGCACGTGCTGTCTCTTCAAATAATTTAGTGCTCACAAGTCTTGCAGAATGTAAGTTAGGAGTTTATGGCAGCCATAAAAACAATTATATTTAAAGGTAGAAGCCAGGCAAAGCTCTTTTTAACTTCAGACAGTGTGGAGAGGAGTTAGAACCACTGTTGGGTAGTTAATGATGTCTCTATTAGAAAGATCCCCCCACATGTTCAATAGAGTCACTACGACAAAAAGTAAGAAATGTCTCCAATTGATATTGGGACACTCTTTCAGTCTACCAACAACTATGTAGTGCAAGGACCAATTTGACTGGATACAAATAGAATGACCTGTTTAGATAGACCACCAAATTACTTGGTTTTGGTAAATATAAAAGAGATTGTATAGAGACAATCAATGATATGTTTTGCCAGCTTAACGCTTTCCCACTTTATACAAAAATTTAAAAAAAGGTTTCTAAAGTGCAAAGAGCGCTTTGCAAAGTGAAACAGCGCACAGCAATCAATCATAATCTACTCTGCTAAAAACAGAATGGGAAGC